CAAGCAGGACCTTGAAGGAACCATGGAGGCATGGTGCTTGCTGCTCACACCCAGACTCATGCCTCGCTGGGTTTCTTATACAGCCCAGGGCCACTGGCCTAGGGAATGGCACTGCATAGTGGGCTGGGTCCTCCTACATCAATTATCAGTCAAGACCATCTCTCACAGACACGCTCACAGGCCAGCCTGTTCTGGGAAACTCCTCTACTGAGACTCCCTTCCCAGCTGACTCTAGGCTATGTCAAGTTGTTAGTCAAAGCTGACTAGGACTGTGGGCATGGTGGACATGTGGTCATCTGAGATCAGCCTCAGATGGCTGAGGCAGGAGGATCGTGAATTTGAATCCAGCCTGGGTTATGCAGCAATATCTTCTCACATAAGCAAGGAAGCAAATGAAATATGAAAATCAGTGATGAATCTTACAAGATATTTGCATAGCTGAGAGAAATCGAGGCAGTCCTAAACACATGGAAGGGTGAGTTATAATCATGGCTCAGATGCTCAAAATACACTGTATGAAATTCTCAAAAATTCAATAAAATATTAAAAAATTAATGGATTGGAAATCTAAGAATTTTTATGAAGTTAGTGCTCCCCAAGTTGATGGACAGGTTCCTGACAAGCCCAGTCAAAACTCAGCAGGTGAGGGGTCTGGAGAGAAGGCTCAGTGGTCAAGAGCACTGGCTGCTCTTGCAGAGGATCTGGGTTTAGTTCTCAGCACCCACATGGCAGCTAACAACTATCCTTAACTTCAGTTCCAGGGGATCAGAGCCCTCTTCTGACCTCTGTGGGCATTGCATGACAAGGGTGCACTTACACACATACAGGCAGTACACTCATGAACATAAAATAAAAATAATAAATCGAATATTTAAAAAAACTGAGTAGGCATTATTTAGATGTTAACCAAATGAACCTAGAATTCAAATGATATGCAAATGAGCTAGACCAGCCAAAATAACACTTGAGTACTTACACTGCCTGATCTCGAGGTCTGTTATAAATCACAATAATGGGCAAGGTGGTATTGGTGTAATAGACAAACAGATGGGGGTGCAGTCCATCCTGATCATCTTTTCAAGTGTCCATACCAGCCACAGGAGCAGAAGTTTGACCCACTGCAGAGTCTTGGTAGACTCCCCGCCCCAATCCTCTTGGCAGAACACCTGTAAAGAGGCATTCTGAGGCCACTTGCCTCCCTAAGTCCCCTAGGAGCTATTGTGAGGCACTTTCCTGCCCATCCTGGGTTCTGACGAGCTGTGTGCTTCTTGTCACAACTTCCTTGAGCTGCAGACCGAAAGCCGCTCAGCTTGTGTTGCTGTCAGTCATCCACCTCTTAGGTCTGGTGTGTGGGACTCAAAGGTGGCAGCTGTTGAGGGTCTTTCGATGTTTACATTAACAAAACGGCTCCTTGTGTTTTCACCAGTTAAACCAGTAGGACCTGATCATGCCTGATCTTGGGTGTACTTGACAAGAGAGTCTAGAAAAACCTCACATACCAGGATCAGTTGAATTGTGTATGTATACATACGTGTGTGTGCGTGTGTATGTGTGTACTTGTGGACGCCAGGTGTCAGCTGTGGGTGTTGCTCCTCAGGAGCAGTTCACTTTTTGTTTTTTGTGGCAGGGTCTCTCACTGGCCTGGAGCTCACTGAGTAGGCCAGGTTGGTCGGTCAGTAAGCTGTAGGGATCCATGTTTCTGCATCCACAGCACGGGAGGTAAAAGTGCATGTCAGCATGCTTGGCCTTTTTCTGTGGCTACTGGTGATCAAACTCAAGTCCTCATGTTGATGGCACCATACCAACTGAGCCTTCTACTCAACCCAGGTCAGTTGATTTTTGAACAAAGTGCAAAGGATGCTGGAACAGTTCACTTTCCACACAGAAAAGGAACAAACAGATCGCTTCCGTCACCCCTCACACCATATCCAGAAATTAACTTTGAATGGGTCATAGATTTTTGGGTGCTGTGAACAGAAGAGGACAGGCAGATTTGTCTGCACAGGGTGCAAGGTACTGGGGGTCTTATGGAGGAAAAAGTGTCATCTTGGGGGCAGCAAGACCAGTTTGATCCTGTGATTTGCATTGGAAAGAAAGGCTTGTTCATGGAAAAGGATCCCTGTAGAGTTCATCCTGGTTGGAATGTATCTGACTTTTCTTAGGCAAACATCAGTCAGGCACATCCCTGCAGCCAGGTCTTTGAGTGGGACCTCTCATATGACTCACAGTGTTCTGTCTACTTTAGTTTGCTGAGAAACTGCAGGAAAAACTGGCTTGGGTTAGTTACCATGGCAATTATCTCGGTGGCAGTCTGGATGAGCTGAACCCATGTCATATAGATTTAAGTGGAAAAGTGTAAAATTATAACATTTCTAGTAGAAAACCTTTGTGGGCTTGGGTTGGGCAAAGACTTTAGCTATAACAACTCAGCACAAGCTCTAAAATAGTAAAATTGATAAATTGGACCTCATCAAAAAGTTCTGTTCTTCAAAAGACATTGTTTTTTAAATATTTTATTTATTATTTTTATTTTATGTGCATGAGTGTATTCCCTGCATGTATGAAAGTGCCCCCATGTTTTACAATGCCCATCAGAGGAGGGCTCCAGTCCCCTGTAACTGGAGTTAAGGATGGTTTTTAGCTGTCATGTGGGTGCTGGGAATTGAACCTGGGTCCTCTGCAGGAGAAGTTGGTGCTCTTAACTGCTGAGCCATCTCTCCAGGCCCCAAAAGACATCGTTGAGGAGACTATAAGGCAGAGGCAGGGCAGTATACTTGTTAGTCACACATGGGCCGGGGACTTGCATCTCAAATACATAACGAGATTTCCAAGTTTCAATACAAAAACAACCCAATTTATCATCCGAGATAAAGAGCTTAGCCCACACCTCACCTGAGAGGTTATGTGGATGGCAGAGAAGCGTGGACCAAACAGGTCCAATACAACTAGTCACCAGGGAGATGCAGATGGACATCCAGTGCCTGACCTCTGCTGCCTGAGCCACTAAAACTCCCACACTGCTGGAGGGACTGTAAAATGGTGTGACGGGGCACCCCAGTCTGCAACTTAAAGGTTATCTTCTTAATCTTATCATCCTACCTAGTTATTGCAAACTGAGGTATTTATCCAAAAGAAATGCAAGTTTATAAAGGGAATAACTAGCTCACAAATGCGCATGGATATCTTATCTGCAGTAGGGCTCAAGCTGGAGACAATCAACTGTCTTTCAACTGGCAATGGATAAAAATATACTGTGGTATATCTACACCGTGGAATACTACTCAGCAGTGAAAAGAAATGAATTATGGAATGCTCACAACATGGATGGGTCTCAGGATAATTAAGTTGAAGGGAAGAAATCTGGTAAAAGATGGCATATTTCATAAACACAGAATTCTAGACTTTTTGGGGAAGTTCCCTTTTTTCTTTTTTTCTTTTGAGACAAGGTCTCATTGTAAACTTACTATGTAGACCAGGCTGGCCTCCACCTCACAGAGATGGCCTGCCTCTGCCTAGGATTAAAGGCGTGCACCACCATGCCCAGCAAGCCGCACTTATTAAACACACTCAGATTGTTGATGTCCTTTACACTAAACTGCCAGACCCTTGTTATCCTCAGTTTCTATCAAGATTGGTGGGGTTCTGAGTGCGGTCTTC